TTAGGTTTCTGGGTCTGTTTGTTTTAAATAAAATAAATTTAAGATTTTAGTTTAGTACTACAACATGCGGCGATAAACTTAGAATGCTTTGGGTACTAACTCGTATAGGTTTACTGGGAAATGAGCAAGCTTATCGAGCGGCGAAGTCTGCTATGTCTGCATCTTTAATTATGAACGATATCGTAGACCTTCAAAGATACCTTGGAAAAAAAATCATCAGCGACCTTCCTCTGCTAACCCTCCATGCGTTATATAAATCAAGATTAAAACAAATTCGCGAGTTCGCCTTTACAATGCAGTTGCAATGCCTCAATGCATCTAGAAGAAGTCTTCTTCTCCTGGCTGCAGTTGTGGACAAATTCTCATAATAAAACGCTTTCTTTGTGACTGCCTTAACTTTTCGTTTTTCAGAAGACTTGCATTTGGAACAACTGATCCTATGGACATCCTGACATCAGCCACAGATCGCAATATCACAATATAATATATTACTTTATTAAAACTACTATACTCATTATCTAATTTTCTTTTCTATAATAGGGCCGAGAGCCTGCGTTGCTCGTTTTCAATGCTTTCTTTTTAATCTGAGAATTTATTTCATTAGTGTACAAACTTATAAGAATAAGAATAATAATAATAATAATAATAATAATAATTACAAATGTGCATAAATGAAAAATGTTTACATGTTCTATAAATTTTTTTTGGAATTTATTGTTAGTTATGAAATAACCGTTAATGGGGTGACGCTTTTAAATGAAATGCACAAATAAATATACAATGCCAGTTGATAGTGAGTGACTGTGTAATTAACACTTTTTCGGTAAATATAAAGATAATAATAAAAAATTTTGTACAACATAAAAATTTAATACAGATAAACTGCGTCTGCAAAGAAACTGGAAAAACTTGTATTCGATAGCAATTGCAAAATGTTTTCAATTCGCACTCGGATTGGAAGGAAATTTTTTCTAAGAAAAATTTACGATTAAGAGATAAAAAATTTAAGCGAGATAGTCGTTACAATTAAGTTAAGCTATTTTTATTATTGACAGAATAAGAAATGGGATGCGAACCAGAAGAGGGTCGTTGACTAAGAATGCTCTTATGAAGATCGTGACAAAAACGCGTAGCAGAGAATCTGCTCTCATATAACTGTTCCTACGAAAACTCAGCCTGTGAATGGTAAAAAGAGTTAACTTTCAATATGTCGTAGTGAAAATTGGTTCAATAGTAAACTGACAAGGAAGTCATCCTTACCGAATTCCGACCACGTTGGTATATTTTTTGGATAGCACCGTATATAAGGATTCTCAGGAAAAGTTAACTCTTTTACGTCGAAAAGGGTAATGTTTTACGATGAAACTTTGTTTATTATAATAAATATTGTGTAGAACGACATGCGCCTATTTCTTGGATCCCACCTCATATAGAATTTATAATGCCCATCAGGAATATTTTAGGGCGAAAATTGGTCCACAGCAGCAATTAAAAAAAAAAAATTGACGGTATGGAGTTTGGATCATACACTCCAACATATATGGAGGTTATCAATAAAACGAAGCTCTTATAATTTCTAGTTCTATTATGGCGGAAACGAAATGAAATCCTATTGAGGCCAATATTGCTAATAAAGAAATAAGCGATCAACATTTTATAAGGTAAACATCTCATCCATGCAGCACTGCACACTGTACTTTTCTATCTAGAAAAATAAATGAAACATTTTTCGAATCTATTATTCGAAATCTGACGGCCAAGTATAAAACTTGATGTAAAAGAAATGGCGTCGATTGGATGTTGCTTGCTTTAAAAAGCTACTCATAAGTTGGTCATAGAAATGAAAAAATTTTGATTTTGAATTAAAAAAAAATCTTTTGAGTGTTACTAGGAAATCGTTTATGTTTCCAAGTCGTAGTTAAAATTTGAAGGCATTCGGATGCAAATTGAAAACACAGCTGATACCGTAAATATCGCGTTGAAAGTTTCGAGTGATACAACTTTGAAGAAATTGTGGTTTTACTTCTGATCAGCGATATCTGCGCTATACAATCGGTTTGGGGGCTGTGAACACTTCGATGGGTGCGACTGGACCATGTGTTACAGTTTTTCACTAATAATTCCATTTTATGAACCCAGAGCATTCCAGATGCCCACAATTCAATTTGAAAATCTTGATCCAGTTGGATCCAGTTCACTTATTATTATAAAATACGCAAAAAAATGTTATAACAATTAAATGGTCGACAGTTTTAAATTTACTCACCTAGTATAGAATAATAAAAATAAGATTGAGATAAATGTTCGTGGACAGAATTTTAATCCCAATGTCACGAATAACCGATAGTTAAAGTCTTTTAAATAATTTCGACCCATCGTCAAAGAATTTCGGAAATTAGTGCGTTTCATTAAATTTTAATTCAAAATTTCGTTTCACTTTTCATTGCGAGCAAAATATATGATATTTTATCGCACTTCATTTAATGACTATGCATCTGCTGATAAACTAAATCTTACGTTAACTGTTCGCACTTGAAGTGTGATACAACTTAAAAATATTTATGCCCTTTCAAACTGCATGCAGGCCATACATTGGGCTCTTCGGTCTGTTAATACGGTTCGTTATGCACTTTACTTATTTAAGTCTTCTTAGCTCAATCTTTGGACAGCAACAATGGGCCGAAAGAACACCTACACAAACCAACTATTTGAAAGTAAAAGGAGTATGTATGTAAAGTTGCAACAAAACAGACAAATGGACAGACGGACAGACGAGCGTAGGTTCATTCAGAATCACTTTCTAAATAATAATGAGGCGAATTTATCTCAAGTCTTTTACTTGGAGAGCGAAATTCCACAAGCTAAGTATGTTAATTCTAGGCTAATTAAAAAAATTTGTAAAATGGGCCGTCGATCAGATAATCAAAAATTTAAAAACGCGTAGTGTCTGACGATTATATTCGAACTTTATTTCAATTTAGTTGATTTTTGAATTACAAAATGGGAAAAGTACAAAATCAAAACAAAAGGTTCAAAGTGGTGAAATTATAAGTTAGGGAGCACACTTGAATACCCTTTAACGTGTTGTCAACAGTATCGTAAACTTCGTTCATAATGTCCAAGTCGGAAACCACATTTCTTCTTCATTTATGGTTTTTCCTCCTTCCTCGACTGCCTAAAATTTCGTTTGCTAAATCACTTCTAAGGTTTTTAAGATTAAATAGAAAACCTTTTACGATAATATCAGACACCTTTGGCTGAACGATCTTTTATTGTTTGTGCTACATTAGTTCGATAGCGGAAGGAATGCGTTAGCACAATCGAGTTATAAACTTTCTTATGATAATTATAGTTCTCTGAAGAGGGAGGTCATCAGCTTTTATTACTAATTTTCAGTTTGGGCAGTTATGGCTAATCTAAACTTCTCCAGCAAAGGAATATCCTACAATGCATACGTATAAATATTTTGATAAAACGCCAACTGACAACAGTATAGTGGGCCAGAGCGCATCGTTAAATATCGTACAATTACATCGACACGTGCAATTATTATGGAAAGTGTTTCGAAAAAGTGGTCCGATTGGAATCATTATCCGAATTTGTACTAAATTTCATCGAAGTATATCTGGAAAACTACGACGTGTAGGTTAAGCGCAAGAAAACAACACGTACAACTCAAATCTATTTAAAAAATAATTCTGAATCGATCGGCATAATAAGAGGTGGTCTATTTCAAGTTCTTCTGGACCTTACATACATCCGAGCAAACATAGTATACGATCATACCTACCACAATTGGTGTAAGGTGTAGAAACTGGATTATTTGCTTAACTTTAAGAAAAAGTTTATTACATCTTGTAGGGAACATTTTATATGGAAAAATATGAAATTTCAAGTAAATAAGCGTTAAATTCCAATATTCGAGAACGATGCTCGAAAGAAAGCCAAAGAAAGGTAGTCTCTTAACCGAACCTAAGAAATTGGCAGAATAATTCAATTAAGAAAGTAATATCCCTTGGTGTTGCTTAACGTGAAGCAATGAAGGAAACGCAAAATATAATCTTGATAGAATAACTGGCAAAGTAATTACATTCGCTTTGGCTCCTCTTCGGTAGGACTATAATTAAGTCAATGATTCCTTGTTTTTGTACTCTACACCATTTGTGGTACAAGGATATATTAAATTTGTGTGAGTTTGCGTAAGCTGATTTGCCCGTCTGTCCGTCTTATTACCTGTGCTCAACATATATTTCGCAATTTTTGAGACTTTTTTTTGGCCCAAGGACGAATGCTACTGAAAATTTTGAAAAGCCGTCGTTTGGTTAGAATGTAGGGTATCTAATGATGAACCGCGTTCAGTATAGTGTTTGTATGTATTTGAATACATAATAAATATACAGCAGTTGCAATGTGATATTCAGTATTAAAGTAATCGCTTCTTTTAAAGCAATAAATGAACGAGCGGCAGCTTCACGGTTACATTTTAAATCAAAGTTTTACGTTATCGAACATAAAATGAAACTCTAACAGATGTTGGTGCAAAATGTAATAAAAATTGTTAGCATTTAACATTACGAACCAGAAAATAGGCACCTTTACGCTTGAAGCCTTGGCATTACTGTGCCAACAAGCAAGATTCTTCAATATACAGAGAACATTCCTTTCGCTGCTTAATGGCTTAAAGTAGTGATTGATCAAAATTATAAAGCTTCATTTTTTTTTTTTTTTTGAAAATTTTTAATATATTAAGTTACTTGTATTTTTGGTTTAAAGTTTAAAATTACTACAAAAATTTAATTAATTGTATTAGATATTCAACTATGTTGCATATGAGTCATAAACTAATAACATAAACTACTTTCGATAATATATTTAAAATAATTATCACAAAATATAAAATCAAACTTAAATCAAGAAAGCATATTAAAAAAAAAAAAAAAAAAAAAATTAGAATTAGAATTAATTTTTATTAAAAAATATTGCACAATAATTTATTTAAAAGTGGAACTTTAAAATGTTTTTTAAAAAATAATTAAAACTTTTATCGCATAAATCCTTAAATTTTCTTAATAGTAATAAAAAAAATTTTTTTTATAAGTAAGCGCTTTCATGAAAAAGCATTTCGACGGCATAATAATTGGCACAAAGTTTTTTCTCCTCTTTCCTTTTCAGTTGCTTAACGGCAACTTAAAGTGGTAAAAATTAATTTAAGGAATGTGTTTCTTTCTTCACATTGTTCATCACTCATTTAAAAGATTTTTTATTATAATTAGTTAACAAAAAAAAAAAAGAAAAGATAAATAAATAAATAAAAGGGAAGAGAAAATATGACGAAGAAAAAATTTCGAAGTTTGTACTTAGAAGAGAAAGTAACTAAATTTTTATAAGCCTATCAAGGCAGCAAAGCAGAGCTCTTTCGATAAAAAGCAACGCGTACACAGCGCATAACTGTACAAAATATCCAATCAAAATTTTCTTATTTTTCAATTTCAATTAAAAAAATATGTAAATGTTAACATATCGTCCTTGTTATACACCACCACGGAAAATATATTAGGTCCTTGAAATGTTGATAGATTGTGAGAATAACAAATCGGATGCGCATTGTTATTCGGGGTGAATTGAAATTGGAGTTGATTTAATCATGACTGTCTGTCTATCTGTCTCTCCATTGTAACAATGATTGCAATGTAAGAAAGACTTTAACTAAATGAACAAACTTTGTAAAGTTCGTAAGTTAATCAATCAATTCGGTTCATGAGTCCACATGTAATTACCGAGAAATCAATAACTTTTCCCTTTATTTTGACAACTAAAACACTTTTAATTTATAGCTATAAATTCGGTTTGACTTGTCCCTGACTAAGATCTTTACGCCAACTTCCAAACTTGTTTTTGTCGGACTCTTCCTTAGAGTTACCATAAGACCGTAAATTAAAAATACCATGCATATGTTAAGTGGTGGATGTGAAAAAATTCGATCTAAACCGAATATAATTTTTTTTATCGTTAATATTTCTACTAAATTGCTAATTAGTGTTAAGTATCTGTCAGTGTAAATTTTTGCTTGTAATTTTCGAAAAATTATTTTCGCTAGATTTTTAAAACATTACGTAGGAATGATCGCGTTCTAAATGCGTTTTAGCTTTCGTTATTACGTTACCCATGACATCGGACGGTGGCGGTATACCCGATATTTCTTTGGCTGGCTCTTTATAAAATATCTCAGTTCTGCCCGATTTATATGCATAGAATATAGAATCATAAGATCTTAAAATTAAATCAGTCACTTGTTCATTACGCAATAGATCGGTATGCATACACTCGATTGTATTAATTTCAACTGGATTCCATGGTCCGTTGCGTTGCAAAGCATCCCACTTGCTATCGATACACATAAAACTGTAGCTGCCATCGCGTTGTTGCTCACCATCAACATTAATATTTAAAGTCTGATTTAAATGCGACTCCATATGGGGAAATTTAGCAACACAAATATCGAACTGAAATAAAATATTAAATAAAGTTAGTTAAATAAAACAATTAAAAAAAATATTATTAACTTTTATTAAGCTTTCTTTAAATATATTAGGTAGTCCACACATTTTTTACGATTTTTCCCAGCACAGGTTAAAATCACTCTTTCTAGTTTAGCAAACCAAATAATTTAAGTTAAAGGTATATATAGTTATTTGAAGCGGGCCTATGTTCACTTTTTAACAAACTTTCAAAGAGATCCATTGTATTATAGTAGTGCGACATAACTTTTAAAATAGAAGATGCTTTGATTTTTTTATTTCAAAGCTTTACGGCGTTGCAGTACACCAAATACCATTTATGATGATAACTAAAGGTTACGATTGAAGCTGATCGACACATAACGATTCGTGAGATTATAGGAAAAGTTAATTCATTCAAAAAAACAGGTTTACTTCTAATAGAAAAACAATATTTCCTTTCATAGTGAAAAAGTGCAATACATTTTTGCTGCATGCAATAGTCTATTGTTAACTCCTCTTCATTTCCCCTGCACATGCTATGTGATTTTATTAGCAATTTTTTAGAGTATTATATATAAGTATTTTAATCCTTTACCAGTCTTTTCTTATTATTCATAAAAATGTTTTACGTTCCAGTATTCCGTTTAGAATAAGTTTTGCATATGTCCGCCTAAGTGGAAGAGTAGGCAATTAATGTGTGACGCGTGCTCAAATCTCAAGCTTGATCGGGTTTTCAATAAAGTCTATAGCCTTAGATACTACGACTTTAAGACTAAGAAATTGATTATAATAATAATAATAGTATAAAGGTTTGACAACGTTCCACTTTCGATTTTCATTTTGTAGTCACTGTAGGTGTGAACCACTTTATTTGTGGTCTTGCATTACACTTAGGACACTAAAAATTTATTCTGTTCACAAACTCAATTACATCTAAATAAGTCTATATTCGTACACTATCTTGACTTTTATGCCTCTACAATAACCTAATTAAATTTGTGATCTGCGGCTCATTCCCGTGTCCATTGTAAACTTGATACACTTAATCGTCACATTAGCACTGCACTCGATTTTTTAATAGTTGATAAACTAGAGATAGTACTAGTTAAAAAAAAAAAAAAGTTCAAAAATCTTACCATTTTCTGTACAATTTTCTGTTGCTGCGAGCAACCCGATTCCATAATCAGCACTAATGTCATATTCTGCTGACCGCATATATATAACTCGGCTTTTTGCAGCCCATCTGCATTTTGAGAATGAGCCGGCAGCGTAATTAAAGCATCGACAGCGTCCTCACATTTTAAAGAATTACGTTTAGCTGTAAAAATTTTCGATGCGGCTAAAGGTGTTTGAATTTCTATACCAGTTCCAGGTGTGGAATCCCAAACAGAGCGATCTTCATTTAAAGCTAAAACTGATAATTTCGTCATTAGTGGCGTAAGGGGAACACCGTTACTTAGTTGTTTGCGATTAATCAAAGATATTGTGGACGTTCTATCCATAGAAGGCGTAGCCAATGAAATCGATTTCAAAGGTAAACTTAATGACTTCTTATCTAAAGGAGTTTTTGTTTTTATTTCTAAATTTAAGTCCAAGTTTAAGTTGCGATCTTTTTTCAAAGCAGTCGTTTGACTTATGGCCGTAGTGGTGGAACGTATAGATTCATCTAATTTTTGCAATTCCGTATCAAATTCTTTAAATTCTTCAATTAAATTGGCTATTTCGTTATTTTGCTTACTCTCCTCGGCGGCTTCACCCCACAATTTGTAATATTTTTCTAAGAATTCTTGAAATAAACTTCGTGATATCGGTTGACCATTTGAATTAAAAACAGGATATGTGGGATCAGTTATAGTACGTGAAGTACGATTATTCTCATCAGAATTATCCGAATTCTCTTCCGAATTGTCGTCATCGTTTTCTATGAAATCTGGTGACAATTCCGCTTCACCCTCGCCATTACGATTAACATCAGTCTTGAAATTTTGCGAAAATTGTTTAAGCGTTATTTTTTTTGAAAATTTTTTAAGAGATTGCTGAAGATCTGCCAAAGAATTACGGCGTTCCAGTTTATTTGGGTTAGTGATAAAATTGTGAAAGAATTTCTCAAAATCCTTTCTCAAAGTATTGCAACGATTCATATGTAAAGTTTTTTGTTGATCTTGTGAACAATTGTTCGAATTATTTTCATCTTCGGGATTAGCGCAAATCGACATCATGTTACCCACCGCAAGAACCTTATTCTCAGTCATTGGTGTCGAACAGACGCTAGTCCGTCCGATAAATTCGGGATACGAATCATTTTCATCAAAATTGATAGAAGCTATACCCGATTCAGGTAATTCTTTATTGTTATAGCTTTTTATACGCAATGGCAAATGCGTTGGTCGACATAGCAGAGATTTAGGTTTTGTGGGGGTCAGGGTTTGTTGAGTACATTCCAAACTTTCACTAAAATCCTGAGAGATTTGCGACGAGCCTTCCTCCGGTATATGAGTAAAAATTAACGACTTGTCTCTTTTCATTTTACGTTTACTACTGTATTGAAATGGTAATGGGCCTGATCCCAATTGAGTTGTTTGCAAATTTTGAGCCCTTTGGGCTTCCGCTTCTAGTTTTTGATATTGTTGCTGATCCAAATAAATACTCAACATTAGCACACCATGCGGTATATGAAAGTCAGTGGCAGTCAAATGCTCAGCAGTGTTGCGTATATGCAGAGGATCGGTTAAAACAATTTGTTTAGTTACATAATCCGTAAGCTGAGTGGCGACTATCCTAAAAATCGTATTAAATAAATTATCGTCTATCACTTTTTTTGTTGTCGCTTCATCTACTCACTTATTATGATACAGAATGGCACCGCCTAATACACCTTTTGTCTGTTGACAGCATTGTAAAATTTGTATGGCTTCTAAAAATATATTACTCGCGGTTTTCGGTATACGCAACTTAGGTATATTTTGAAATATGTTGCCGTTATATTGTAAAATTGGTAGATATGTTTCAAATATATGATATAATTTCTCCGATAGATTCTTGTACTGAGACTGTAAAGGAAATTGATCATAAACTAATTGCAAATCGCGATGGTAAAATTTAACTAAAGCAGTTAGTAAGTCGACACGATGCTGAAGCAAATAATCAGATATATTGCGATCCGTACCAACAGCCTGAAATAAATCAAAGTTATATTTAAAAATACTTGATTATGAACGAATAATTTACCAAAATAAAACGCCCAAATTCTTTAAGGACAAATTTTCCATTTTGCAAAGCAATGATACGCGGTTTAAAAAAGCAATCCTTTAAAAAGTAAGATGTACCCATAAGTTGGCCACATAATGCCACTTTTTGCGTATCCGAAACCCAACTGGGATGAAAATACAGGACCGCCTTAACCGGATCATCGGATTCATCTTTGAGACACTCCGTGTCATAGACAAACACAATCATGGTTTCTCTGCAAAGTGGGTTTGTAAAAATTTTATGGAATTATAATTTGAATGGTATAAGATATAATTAATAGGATATTTTATTAAACCTTTCGTTATACTGTAAATTTAAAAAACTATTGTCTTCCAATTCCTTGGCAATAAGAGGCCATCTCTTAATTTCCTTTGATTTACGCCAATTTTTGAACATATTTCTTTCTCTGCGATGCGTGTTTGTGCATGTGTATGTGTAATTGCGTTATCTTCTTATATTTTTCTCTTTATAATTTTAAAAAAGTTTACAATTTGACTTTTAACCAAACTTAGCCACACATGAATCGTTATGTGTTAACACTGACAACTGATAACATCTACAAGCACCTAACTGCTTATATTTTACCAACGTTTCTATTCTCTGGGGGAAGTTAATCTAAATTGCACTCCCTCCTCATAACTCTGCGGTAAAATAAGTTATTGTTATTGATATCTCATGCTTGAGTAAAGTTGCTTCGTATTTCTTCAAAATGTATCAATTTCAACTTGAATAGAGTGATTTCTCTTGCCATTCCGCCGTACATCCTTCCCCTCGCCCCTTGCTTTCCTTCCACTTAAATGTGTTATAATTGAAGGGCAAACAAGCATTTTTTGCAACTAACGTACAGAGGTAATAATTATCAGAAATCAGTTGCCTTTGTTTTTGGGTAATTTGTTGAAATATGTGCCATTGTTTCAATGTTTTTGGCTTGGAACCAATCTTTTGATAATAAGTTCTTATCTGTTTTTGCTCCTCCTTAATAAACGGTTTGATCACAAAGAAATGCATCTCGTACATCGAGTCAATTTCTTTTTTTTTGTACGCGCCGATACTACTATTCGTGTTGGTTGGCGGGTGAGCTAATGTACTTTAGCATTTTCTGAGATTTTTTTTCATGGAGCTGAGAGTCTGTATAAAATTTTCATAAACAAATAAAGCGAAGCACTGAAAATTTGAAGGAACACTCTTTGTAATAACATCACGTTACCGACAAATTTATGAGTAAATAATTCTAAAAAGGCGATGGACGACGATGCTCAATCTGAATATTCCAGCGCGGGCATTTTTTATAGAAAGACGAAACATATGAGGAAATTGTGTTCCCTTAAAGAAGAATTACTTTAGAGAAAAGAATTCCGGAGTAGGCGTTTGTTGATTTATTAGTGTTTTCAGTGAGAGATAGGAAAATTCATCATCAAACCGCTCAAACCCCCGATTGTATAAAAGTCAGGTTGCTTAACTACCTCTACAAAATCAGTCAACGTCCATCCCCCAAGTCCCCCAAATTGGACAATTGTAGTTCTATAGATCTAATAGAAACCTTTTCATATTAGCACCACGTTGTTCCAACTCATCAGCCGAGTGATCTTTCACCGTTCGTGTTGACAGATATTGGAATGCGTTACCACTGAATCTGAAATCCTTCTATGATTCGTTGAATGCGTTTAGAAGAAAATTGACTGCGCTGCTAAATTTATAATTTATTTTTTGTTGCTGATAGAAATTGATGATTACGAGGTTTATGGAGCAAGATGCATGATTGCATTTGCAGCCACCTAGCTGCTGTGTACTCCCTTATATTGTAGTTTCCTTTTACCCATGAAACGAATCTGCATAACTATGTAGTAGGCCTGCGGCTTTATAGTTACTTAATAAATGAATAAACGAAAATGAATTGAAGTTTAACGCCACGACTGTTTTTCTTTGCTTTTGATTATTCTCTACGCCCCAAGAAACAATAGGAAAGACGTGTGCGAAATCTTTGCACGAAACGTAAGGAAACTTGTCATCACAATTTCTTTCTTTCAATTACGGTGCTACTTGAAAAGGGCTGGAAGAAATACTGGATATTGAATAAATATCACTTGCAAAAATATAATATTCTTATAATTTTTTTTCTTAAAATACACTAAAACTGAAGGAAACGTCAAAAATCAAGAGCGCACGTTTGAAGAGCTGAATAATCTTATCGAAGACATTATCTTGTCGAATGCAAGACATTAAGCACAACTTTCAGCAAAGTAGAAAGATCACAGTGGGAAATAAGCTTTTCAAATATCACCAACACTTTCTAGAAAACTAACAATGGTCCACCTACTACTACATAGCTTCTTTCTGATTGCAACAGACGGATAGGTGGACAAAAGTGATTATATCGCTTTCGCTGTAAATATTTAGGTTCTTGGCCTTGGTGCGAATATGGAATGCGATTTTAGGTAAAGCTAATCAATATAAATAGTTGTGTAAAAAAAAAAAAGAAAATTAATTGAACAACATTTTTGGAAATAATTTAGCTTTCAAAATATTACGAAAGTCTGTTAAAACGCTTCAATGCAAATCTTGAATAATAAAAGTTCTAAAGTAAGGTTAAAATATTCTTAATCCATTTGAGTAAGAAAAAAACAAGAGAAATTAATGAAAGAAATTATAAAGAAAAATAAGTTAATAACCTCTTATCATAATGTGCGTTTGCCATCTCCATTTCTCTATCTTCCTCCAGCATAGCATCGAGTAAATCAAAGAAATTATAATAACTCGAATTAAAAGAAAACATTTTAATAAGATTTTCGTGATTAGAAATTAAAATCTTAAATGCATGTAATTGATCTATAAAGAAATTAAAAATATAATATATTAATTTAATTTATGAATAAATAATAATTATATTTTTACCAATTAAAAGGAGTGCCGTATTGAAAAAGTTGTAGAGGAGAAAAAGGTTAATAACACTTACTTGGCCATGGCTTTGTTTTTGAGAAGAATTTTTGTCAGAGTAAAGATTAAAATTTCATTTAACTAAAATCATTTAACTAAATCTATAAACATTTCTTTAAGTAAATTCTTTTAAAATAAATTCTTTTATAATAAAATTCCACTGCACTTGTACTCTTTCGGTGTATATACTAAGCCGAGAGTAAAGGTATTTTTTTTTTACTCACGCCATTCAGTTGACAGTAAGAAATACAGTGAAAATTTTTTGTATGCGATTATTCTTCGCGATTTTCAAATTAAGCGATTTTTCTAGTAAAAAGTTATGCTGACTGACATTAATTTGTTGAATCGCCATAGAGATAGTAGAGATAAGGAAAAGTGAACTTTTGGCATCCGAAGATTTATTCTCCAAGTTGATCGTGTTTAGGACCAAAATGTATTGTACTCAAAAAAAATCAGGCGGTAGCTATATAGAACAAAAACTAGCTGTTTTTTACTGCGGCAATAATTAGTTAAGGCCCTTAATTTTGAATTAAACTAGATAGTCAATCGGGAGTTTTTTCTATATATATATATATATATATATATATATTTCAACATCCAGCAATATACACTGTTGGCAAAATCTACTCGACGTCGATTGAGTGCTAAAAACAAAAAAATAAATTGATGATTTTTACGAAAATCACCATGAGATATGGACGCGTTGGATTTTTTGAGGAGATTACAAATATCAGTCATCAGAAACTATGTATTCTTGGTCAGCGTAAGAATTTGAGTCAATGTTAGCAGCAAACGTTCATTCGCCCGTCTTTCAGGTTTTAATTATAAATTTCTGAAGCCCAATTAAAATACGTAGCTACAACAACTATTAAAATTAATTAAAATACATGACTACGGCAACTATGTGGTAAGCTACAGCATCTAATTTGATGCCCATTAAAGTGATTGGAAGGTATAGGTAAAAAAGAAGTATTTATCGTAATGGACCTTCTTTGACTTTTTAGTAGTCAATTTCCTAATCTCATTTTAACAGGACGTTCGCAATTTTGTTTTGTTGTTACAAACTGTAATACATTGCTAATTATAGAATAATAAAAAAACAGAACAGATGTAATCACCAACGTTTGAAATGTGTAAGACACATTACATGGGGACATTAACTTCGCTTAAAGCGACGCCTTACTGTATTGTCATTTTAGATAAAGTATAGATGCAGTTGTTGCTATTTAGTTAGTAGACACAGTTGCTTAAAAGGTACTTTAGTGATTGTATGAGCTATTATTTTGCAGTGGCTTTCATGTAAACATTTCAGTGTTCGTTGTTTTCCTTTTCTCTTTTTTTTTCCTTGCATAGTAAATCTATACAACTCTGCTTATTGTATGTATACTTTTGATGGTTTAGTATAGCAATGGCCGCCGTAGTAAACTCTGTAAACTCTTAACAAAGTGTTGAGGATTTTTATAATTTATTTTATTTATTTTTATATCTATAAACACATATACATAAAAAAAGGAAGAAAAACATTATAAATAATCTAAATAAAAAAAACTCGTTTAATTATAATTTTCTTGGTGAGTGAGCGAAAAAATTTAAAAAATTGAAATATTCGAAAATAAATAAGTTTTTTATGTTTGCCTGGTGCTGTTATTGCTGCTGCTGCATTTATAAAATATTGCTTGCTAGCCAGCATTAGCTTTCAATATATGTATACGCATAAGTGTTAAAGTGTTGGTGGGATCTCGGCGCATACAGATCATTTTCGTTAGTGTAGATGTGTGAGTGTGTGTTTACATTATAGTACAATAATATAAACGCTAGTGTTTATGTTTAATGCATTAATAAAAAGAAAAAAAAAAGAGGAAAAAAAAGAAAAGAAATGAAAAAAGTCAAACAGGTTTTTGGGAGTCGCTTACGGTTAGACAAGTTTTCAATATATTCATATATATAGACATAAGTGTATATGTGTGCATAAGTGTTAATGTTTATGTACGTTGGTTGTTATTTGTGGTTATAAACCTCTTTAACTTAAACCCCAAGCGAGTGTATATATACATATATACAAGTGTGTGTGTGTGTGTGTGCGTTTATGTTTGTGCTTGTTTGTTTAAACATATATATAAGCATGTATGTGCGTTTGTGCCAAGTTGTTTATAATCTAATACAGCTCGAGACCAGTAAGACTAGATACGGCAACACAACCATCAACACAATACTAAATTTATTACAATCATACGGCAAACAACGTTTTTTAACTTTTATATATACAAATGGAAGTGTGCATATACGTGTGCATATAAGTGTGCATATGTATATATGCATACACTATATATACATATGTATAGATATATATACATATGTATAGATATATATATATATATATATATATATATATATATATATATATATATAT